CTCCTCCCCCTCCCCTCTGCTCCCCCTCCTCCTGCTCTCCTCTGCCTCCTTCTCCTCCTCTTGCTTCTCCTCCACATCCTTCTCCCCCCTCCTCCTCCCTCATCCACCTCCTCCACCCTTCCTCCACCATCCTCCTCTCCCTGCCCCCTCCTCGTTTTCATCTTCGTCGTTCTCAGGGTCGGCAGCACCGGCCGTAAGGCCCTCGCAATCCGTCAGGCCTCTTTGGGGTGCGCCGGGTACTTTCCTGGGGTGTCCTGGGGACCCTTTCTCCCGTGCTGAGGCCATCCTGAGCGCTCTTGGCGCTCTTTTGGGACATCTTCGGTTCATTTTGGTTCCTCTTAGGCGGTCTCTCTGGTATCTAAGGCTGTCTTGGAAGTCGATTGGGCCGACTGGAGGCCTCTTGGAGGCCCCGGGGAGGGGATATCAAGAAAAGGGGCGAGATGGTAGCGAGGTGCCTGGCCCCGGGGCGAGGATCGAGGTCCGAAAATGTTGTCTTTGTAGGTTCTCGTCGCTGCCGCGGTTGGACGCATCTCGAAGCGACGTGTTTTTCTTTCCGAGGAGGTGCAGGACGAGGACGGGGAGGGAGATGAGGAGGCAGAAGCATCAATAGCCGTTAGAGCAACAATCTTTTCGGCGTCTCGGGATTCTCTTTGGGCCGCCTTGAGCTCACCCTCCCGTCCGCACTTAGAATCCTTGGTGTTCGGAACCCGTTACGTGAAACGACACAAGAGCCAGACGAGTATTTAGCCTCCTCCTCCTCCTCCCTCCTCCTCCTCCCTTCTCCCTCCTCTTCCTCCCTCCTCCTCCTCCTCATCCTCCTGCTTCTCCTCCTCCTCCTCCTCCTCCTCCTCCTCCTCCTCCTCCTCCTCCTCCTCCTCCTCCCCCTCCTCAACATACACATAAACTTTGCGGAGCGGAGCGGGGCGCTAAAAGTTGATGTTCATGGCGTGGTGTCTTCATTTATGTGACTACCGCAGTGGTGCGTATCCTCTTCGGTGGAGCTCCCTATGGTGCCACGAGCTGTGCGAAGGGCGTGCTAAAAAAGGGCGTCGGGCGCACGTGGACACTGCCACTGGGGCTTTCGGTGTAGCTCCCCATGGGGCCATGAATCGTGTGAGGCGTGCGCCGCAATGGGCGTCGGGTGCATGCGGACCCTGCGGCTGTGAAAAATTAGGCGTCGGGCGCCCGCGGCCCTGCACTGGAGCCTTCGGTGGAGCTCCCTATGGGGCCACGAACCGTGTGAGGGGTGTGTCAGAATGTGCGTCGGGCGCATGCGGGCCCTGCCACTGGGCCTTCAGTGGAATTCCCTATGGGGCCACGAACCGTGTGAGGGGTGTGCCGACTTGGTGCACATGCGGAGAGAAAACAGAGGCAGGAATGGGATGAGGGAGGAGGGGGAGTAGGAGGGGGGGGGAGGAGGAGGAGCCCTAGGAGGAGGAGGAGGAGGAGGAGAAGGAGGAGGAGGAGGAGGAGGAGAGGGAGGAGGAGGAGGAGGAGCAGGAAGAGGGAGATCAAAGGATCGGGGAGAGAAGCGGGTCCCCAAGGAGCGGGTGGAGGCCCCAGGGGGCTCGCGCAAGGACGAGGTTTGCGACGGCCTCAACGGCATATTTTCGTGTCACCGCGCGCCCTTCCGCGATCCCTCTCCCCCACGTCTTCCCCTCTCCCTCCGCACATCGTCAAGGATGCTGAGCTTGCACTCGCGCGCTTTGGCCACATCTCGAAGAAGAGAACACTGCGTAAACGTAAACTTTCGGAGCTCCTCGCGAACTTCTCGGATCTGAGCTGGGCGCCCCCTGGCGGTGCATCCGGCGCCGCCCTTGGTACGTTCCGCGCGCCAGGGGGGGGTGTCCAACGCCGATCCAAGAGATTAGCGCAGAGCTCCGACAGTTTATGTGTATGTTGCTTGTTGTTCCTCCTGTATCCCTTGGACCTGGATGTTTCTACGTTCCCTGCTGCTGAAACGAGGGCAACCCAGGGCAAGGGGTTATGTGTGTAGACGAATGTGTGTCAAACATACACTGATTTGTTGCACCATTACGATTTATATATGAATGTGTGAGAGAAGGTGCGCGTGTAACCAAAAATCACGGCACACCTGTGCTTCTGAAGTGTAGATTGTGACCGTTTCACTGTTCTGTCTGTTTTTCAGTTGGCTTTCTCCGAGGGGGGTGCACGAGGGACACGCAGATGTTGTGTCGCGCCTCCAGATGAGGCCGTGGCGAACTTTTCTTCGCTGCTCGCGTTTCCTTGTGCCCCGACGGGAGCACAACTACAGTAGAGAACTGGTGCTGTTGTGTGCATCAGACGCAGGGGGAGTTTTCGCCCCCAGGTCTCGTTCATCAGACCCGCTGGCGTCGGCCAAAGGCTGCACGTAGCTGGTGTTGCTCGGGCGGGGATGTTCACACAGCGTCTTTGCGGCAACTTCTTAGCGAGAAAAGATTTGTTTGAGCCAGCCGTGGAAAGCACAACAGATCTTTTTGGTGGGTGCCTCTGGGGAAGACGATGAGGTGCGGTGAGCGATTTTTAATTACCCAGAACTTAAAGTCTGTGTAAGCCGACCGCTGTATTTGTACGGAGCGCCGAATGGCTTGACCGTATCCAGACCTTCCAGGGCAAGTTTGTTCCCGGCCTCTTCCCGTAACAATGACAGTTTTCCCCACTCCGCATCGCCCCATATTTCTTTTTGATGTTTATTCCACGACGCACGCGGGGGAAAGGAGGACGAGGGCGGAGGACGAGGATGAGGAGAAGGACCATGAGGAGGAGTTCCAGGAGGACATCCACTGAAAGTGGTGCAAAGTGGCACAAAGCATGCACAGAAGTCTCAAAAGCCCTGTAAAACAGCCAGCCTGAGAGTGGGGCTACTTGGCGCGAGCCTTGCACAGCAGTCTCAGAAGCCCTGGGCAACGGACAGCCACTGAACATGCTGCAGGTTGGCGCGAGCTGCGCATAAGAGTATCAAAAACCCTGTACAACAGAGAGCCACTGACAGAAGTGCGAATTGGTTGAGCCCCGGCACAGAAGTTTCAGAACCTACTGTCGTTCCTTCTTCCGACTCCTGGTAAAAACTTGGACGGCACACTTGGGCCTGAACCTCTCGCCCACGGCCAGCTCGTGCCCCTCGGTCCGACAAGCGAGGAAGACGGGGAGACGGACAAAACGGGAACCGACCGAAAAGGGGGAGGAGGATGGGGGATGGGAGGGGGAGGGAGGGCGGAGGAAGCAAGCCCCCCTGGTCTCAGCCCCTTGAAGCTAGCGAACGACCCTCCAGGGAAATAGCCATCTTTTGTCAGCCGTTGCAGGTCGGAGCAAGACACTGCTGGCAAGGATGCCGGCTCGATTCGGCGAGCAACGGGAGCATGTGACAGCGCGGAGTGGCAACAAAATGCTGCCAGGCAGCCGCTGAGATTGGTGCAAAGTGGCACAACCATGCACAGAAGTCTCAGAAACCCTGTGAAAGAGGCAGCCCTCCTAAGCACAATGGAAGACACTGTCACATTCGTCGCCCGAAACGGAGCACTTGTCATATACCCACTTCTCAAGCATCCCACATGGTCATGCGAAGGTTGCGGCTGCAACTGGCGACTCGGAGCAAGGTTCTGGCCACTCGTCACCACTTTTGCAAAGACGTGCGCTTGGTACAAGACGCTGGGGGAGTCATCACCTCTTTGTGGTTGTCTTCCCCCAGCAAACCTCCGACGGCAAACCCTGATCGCCCCAAATGCTTCACGTGCACATTCAAATACCAGATGCCACTCTCTGTGCGTCCATGGACGACTTTCAGCTCGACCGGGCCAACAGCAACCCATTGCGGAATCGTCGCGGCGCTTTGCCGTCCTCTGTAATGGTACCCTCCAACTTGCTTAGCCTCTGCCCAAGAGCCCGTAATTTTCAGTTATTTGAAATACATATCCGAACAACCTCCACCCGATCGGCGCGCATCGGGATGTTTATCAGAACATGTATGCCCGGCTTCATCAAGTCGAACCGCGCGCCGTGAACGTTTTGGAGGTGTGGATCGCCGGTGGCACCCACGCCTCCGGCGGCTCCGCCCGCCATGGGAGCTGCGGGAAGAAACGTTGGACTGGGCGTCGGCCAACCCAGAGAATACGTCGGACTGGGCGTCGGGAAGGGCATCGGGAAAGACGTCGGTTAGGGAGTCGGGAAAGCCGTGGGGTAAGCCGTCGGGAAATCAGTCGGGTAGGGCGTCGGGAAGGCCGTCGGGTAAGGCGTCCGGAAAGCCGCGGGGTAAGGCGTTGGGATAGCTGTGGGGTAGGCCGTCGGGAAGGCCGTCGGGAAGGCAGTGGGGTACGGCGTCGGGAAGTCCGCGGGGTAGGGCGTTGGGAAAGCTGTGGGGTAGGGCGTGGGGTAATTAGGGCGTGGGGAAGGGCGTGGGGTAGGGCGTCGGGTATGGCGTCGGGTTCAGCGTCGGCTTCGGCGTCGGGTACGGCGTCGGGTTCGGCGTCGGGTTCGGCGTCGGGTACGGCGTAGGGTTCGGCGTCGGGTTCGGCGTCGGCTTCGGCGTCGGGTATGGCGTCGGTTTCAGCGTCGGCTTCGGCGTCGGGTTCGGCGTCGGGTTCGGCGTCGGCTTCGGCGTCGGGTACGGCGTCGGGTTCGGCGTCGGCTTCGGCGTCGGGTTCGGCGTCGGCTTCGGCGTCGGGTATGGCGTCGGCTTCGGCGCCGGGTGCGGCGTCGGGTACGGCGTCGGGTTCGGCGTCGGCTTCGGCGTCGGCTTCGGCATCGGCGTCGGGTTCGGCGTCGGGTTCGGCGTCGGGTTCGGCGTCGGGTACGGCGTCGGCTTCGGGTTCGGCGCCGGCTGTGGAGTCTGGAAAACATAGAAAATAGCGGGCGCGCACGCATACTCGGGCTCCGGCAATAAAACGGCAGCCATGTTTCGTCCACCAATTCGTTCTGATAGGAGCTGGTGACTCCCATGTCGTCGAGCCGAACCAGATAGTGGAGGAGCCCGCGCACTCATCCGAGTACCACAGCACACTTGTCTAGTAAACTCCCACGCCGCCATTGAAATCTCGGACGACACAGCCGTAGCCTTCGGCCGCATCATCGTTGGGCTGACGCGCCCACTGCATTCCGATCACTCCCGCGGGTATATTAGCATCCCCTGGCGCCTGGAACATCGGGGAGTCGTAACTCGTGCCATAACAGAATTTGTTGCACACTGCCGACGACCACGCGCCTGCCCGCCCAGAAGGGGTGCTACTTTCGACGCGCATCGTGGTATTGACGGCCTCAACAAGCTCGCTCTCAGAAAGCTCTTCGAATGGACCATCGCCATCCTCGATGCCCACGTGCATCCCCGCTGGATCCCTTCCGAGCGCCTCCGCGCGCACGATGAAATAGAGAATGGTCACGCTGGCGTGAAAAACCTCCATCGGAAGCATACCGTTCGTGAGTGGAGCGCACGGGCTGGCAATGGACGAGGTCGCTCAAGCGTGTACAGTACGGAAGGGAGAGTCTGCCTGAAAAGCTTGAGCCAAAAGGCTTGAGCCAAAATGGCTACGGAGGGCCCTCTTCGGCGATCTTGGGCGCCTCTTAGGTGGTCTTGGGTCGCTCTTGGGCCGTCTTGGGACGCTCTTGCGCCGTCGTGGCGCCCTCTTTGGGTGCCTCTTGGACCGTCTTGAGCTGATTTCTAGGCCCTCGTGGGCTGTCTTGGACCGTCGGAAGCATGGAACAGCGAGAACACGAAAAACCGTCAAATAACCAGAAACAAACCTACGTACTTGTTTCGCCTCCTGAGTGCCACGTGGGAGTCCTTTTGAGGGCATCTTGGCCGTCTTGAAGTTCTCTTGGGCTGTCTTCAAGCCATGTTGGACCAATGTTTCAACTCTTGTGCGGTCTTGGGCTCTCTCGGAGCCCTCTTGGGCCATCTTGGCACCCTCGTGGACGTCTCTCGGGCCCTCTCGTCGCCCCCCTTCCCTCTTTTGACGCGTTCTGGCACCCCCGCCGGGTCCAAAACGGCCGGAAGACAAATCAATACACTCCAGGCCCCACGGGACCCCCTCCCACTTTATCGTTTATGCGTATATATATATATATATATATATATATATATATATACATATACGTATGTATATGGGACCCCATGTATTACACATTCTTTTCTCCGATAGCCCGGCTTATCCGCTGGGGGGGAGGTGCCAACCGATAATCTGAAATTGTCGCTTAGGGCAGTCCCACGTATGCCCGCGGGCACCAGTATTGCGCATTCCATTCGGACCTGCGCAAGTTCAGGGTTTACCGCCAGACCTTCAAAATAATCTCCTCCTCCTCCTGCTGCTGCTGCTGCTGCTCCTCCTCCTCCTCCTCCTGTTAGAGGTCAGAGAGAGCTATGCGACGATGCTGGCCAGAGCGATCCTGACCCCGGGAAGGGGACTGGCCGGGATGGGTGTATGTGCACAGCTTTCTTCGCCCGACTTTTCGAAGGCGGGACGGGCCGGACAAGGGGTGGGACGGGCCGGACAGCCTTCGCAGAGCGACCGCAGCCGCAATAGGCCAGAGGGGGACGAGGAGCAGGAGCAGGAGCACAAGCAGGAAGAGTCCTTTTCCTCCTCCTCCTCCTCCTCCTCCTCTTTTTCCTCCTCCTCCTCCTCCTCCTCCTCCTCCTCCTCTACCTCCGCCTTCCTCCTCCACCTTCCCTTCTCCTGTTCCGGCATGCAGTGACGACCGACAGCATGATGCCCTCCTCGTCCTTCGCTGACGATGGGCAGACTATGATGGTCTGTGATCGTGGCGCTCGCCTCCTCCTCCTCCTCCTCCTCCTCCTTCCTCCTCCTCGTCCTCGTCCTCCTCCTCCTCCTCCTCCTCCTCCTCCCTCCTTCCTCGCCCACAGGGCGCCAAGCAGGCAACCGGAGGGCGCGCCGCAGGCTCCCCGGCGCCACCGCGTCCGTGTCCCACAGGACCGGCTCGGGCTGCAGCCACATCTCCTGCGCAACCCCCGCCCACGCCGCTTCCGGCGGCAACTCACGGGATCAGGAGGCAACTACTGGGAGGTTTTCGTCGGAAAGATTGAAGAGGATAAAACCCCATTTGGGAGCTATTACGCCGGAGTGGGCATCGGACTAAGCGGGATTAAGCGGGATTAAGCGGGATCAAGCGGGATTAAGCGGGAGTAAGCCGGAGTAAACCGGATTAAGACTTCGGACCAGTGCAAAATCGGAATTTGACCTTCCAGGAATTGCATCCCAAATGGGAGCCTCCCATGCTGGCTCTTGCGAGTGGGCGCTGATCGACGCCAGTCCACGCTACACCGACGCTAATCTCGACGCTCGTCGACGCTGATCGGGCTAGTGTAGTGCGCTCCGATGGCGAAGCTGCGAATGTACACAAGGCTCCCATGATTTGATACCGAAGCCGCCCTCTGCCAGATCGCGCGAGTCACGAGCGCCTTGCGGTGTTGTTTTTTCCCGGCGGAGCCGGGTGAAATTCCTTGCCCGCCGGTGACTGACTCACTGAAAAGTTGACTGACTGCTTGACTGACTGATTGACTGACTGACTGACTGAACGTCAGGAGGCACCTTGAACAACACATTTCAACCCGCCCGCGGGCGCGCAACCGCAACGGGGCGACACATTTCGACCCGTCCGCGGGCGCGCAACCGCAACCGCAACTGGGCGACACATTTCAACCCGCCCGCGGGCGCGCAACCGCAACCGCACCTGGGCGATACATTTCAGACCGTCCGCGGGCGCGCAACCGCAACTGGGCGACACGTTTCAACCCGCCCACGGGCGCGCAAACGCAACCGCACCTGGGCGACACATTTCGACCCGCCCGCGGGCGCGCAACCGCAACCGCAACTGGGCGACACATTTCAACCCGCCCGCGGGCGCGCAACCGCAACCGCACCTGAGCGACACATTTCAACCCGCCAGCGGGCGCGCAACCGCACCTGGGTGACACATTTCCACCCGCCCGCGGGCGCGCAACCGCAACCGCAACTGGGCGCCACATTTCGACCCGCCCGCGGGCGCGCAACAGCAACCGCAACTGGGCGACACATTTCAACCCGCCCGCGGGCGCGCAACCGCAACCGCAACTGGGCGACACATTTCGACCCGCCTTCGGGCGCGCAACCGCAACTGGGCGACACATTTCAACCCGCCCGCAACCGCAACCGCAACACATTTCACCTGCCCGCGGGCGCCCGACCGCAACCGCAACTTTTCAACCCGCCCGAGGGCGCGCAACCGCAACCGAAACTGGGCGACACATTTCAATCCGCTCGCGGGCGCGCGAAAGCAACCACGCGACACATTTCGACCCGCCCGCGGGCGCGCAACCGCAACCGCACCTGGGCGACACATTTCGACCCGCCCGCGGGCGCGCATCCGCAACCGCAACTGGGCGACACATTTCAAACCGCGCGCAACCGCAACTGGGCGACACATTTCAACCCGCCCGCGGGCGCGCAACCGCAACCGCACCTGGGCGACACATTTCAACCCGCCCGCGGGCGCGCAACTGCAACCGCACCGCTCGCCTGCCGCCCTCCCCCAGAGGATCTGAGGCGGAGGAAGGGTGGGAGGGAGGTGGGAGGTAGGGGGGAGGGGGGAGGGAGGCGGGAGGGAGGAGGGAATAGGGGGGACGGAGAGGAGACGGAGGGAGGGTAGAGAGCTCACAATGATTGGGGGCGGACAACTTCTGCCCCCCCCTCCCCCTTTCCACGCATGTGGATCTCCCAAAAGCTCCAGACCCTGGATTCCTTATCCAAGGCCTCCACGGCCTGCTAGTGGGAGGGGGGGCAAGGGTTAACCGCCCCCGAGGGGGGGGGCGAGGCTTTGACAGAAGCGGTCCGTTGCACCGCTTAGTTTGAAGTTGGGGGGCGATGCCGCGGGGATCGGTTGCGCGTTCACCCGCGCGCAAGCCGCCCGCGGATGTAGGTGCATCGGCGCCGTCTTATTCATGCAGCCTGCCGCGTCTTATCCATGATCTGGTGCAGGAGCAGGTGGAGGAGGAGGAGGAGGAGGAGGAGGACGACGAGGAGGAGATAAGGGAGGAGGAGGAGGAGGAGCAGCATAACGAAAAGGAGGATGAGGAGGAGGAGCAGCAGGACGAGGAGGAGGACCAGGATGGCCAGGAAAAGGAGGACGATGGGAAGGGGGATGCCAGGGTGGTGCTGCTTGAGAAGGTGCACGAGCAGCTGCTTGTTGCGGAGGACTGAACAGGATGAGGTGGTGCACGTCAAGGAGGATGGAGGTGGATGTCCTCCTCGTGGCCTCCGGGCGTGACCCGCGGCTCTCCGCCGGGACATTGCAGCGGGGAATCCCCATTCCACGCTGCTGCCTATGATTTCCATTACCCGCGCGCCAATCACTTACACTATGCCTCCACCTACACTGCGTCACCACCGCAACAGTGTTGCGCTGCAGCGTGAGACAGAGGAGCCGCTTGTCAGCGGCTCCTGTACGCCTCGACAGCGCGTGCCGCTCCCAGCTGAGAGCCAAGAAACCGAAGACATAACGAAGCGAGCCGAAAACCAAAAGAAGCGAGGCCGAAAGTCACGCGGTGCCAAAAAAACGGGAGTGAAGGTACGGCGGGGAGGGAGCTGGCCCTGCGGTGGATTTGCGGCCAAGGGCCTTTACGCAGCGGGTCACGGCAGGGGCCCCTGCGACACGCTACAGTAGAGACATACGATAATTATCCCAGACCCCCGACGTCAAATCTTTTCATAACGTCGACCCCCAGAAGTATCGACTCCTTCCCCGGGACCGGTTTCTCATCCTGAGTCGTTCGCTGACGGTCCCCAGAGGCCAAAAACAGAGAATTACCCTGGCGACGTACCCAACCCCTGCGCAAACGCGGGGCGCAAATAGTTTAGGACACTTTATAAAGGGGAAGATGACGGAACGAGGGTTACATATGTCTGCAGACGGAATCGGGACACTCGCAGGACACTGGCTACAGGACAAGGACTAAATAAAGCTGATTCGTTACAATCCCTGAGCAACCCTAGCCACTTCGAAGGCGGGGATCTCAGATCGCAGCCCCCCAGGGATGGCGAGGTTTAATTTGAGTCCGCGCGTGGCGACACTGTGCTGGGCCCCCCAACAGGCCTCGAAAGTGGCGACAGTTTCACAGATCGCAGCCCCCCAGGGATGGCGAGGTCTAATTTGAATCTGCGTGTGGCGTCACTGCGCTGGGCCCCCCAGCAGGCCTCGAAAGTGGCGACAGTTTCACAGATCGCAGCCCCCCAGGGGATGGCGAGGTCAATTTGAATCCGCGGTGAGTGCCCACTGTGCTGGCCCCCCAGCAGCCCTCGAAAGGCGACAGTGTGGCGAGGTCCCCCCGACGACAGTACACGTTGAAGGTGCCCCCCAGCAGGCCTCGAAAGTGGCGACAGTTTCACAGATCGCAGCCCCCCAGGGATGGCGAGGTCTAATT